GCCTCCAGGCCCAACACACTTCCATTGTATAAGATGAGATGAATTCCTAGCAGGTGTTCCTGAGCTGACATGCATAGAATCTTAGACATTCTGGTTCACTGCTGAACTTTAAACAGTGGTTGATTATAGATGTATGTGTGTCTAGCTGAATATACATTTGTATTGCGGAGAGTCCTCAAATAGTTCAATGGTTCAAAGATCTTTGTTCCCCATATAGATTACCAATGTTGAATAGTTTGTGAGTTACTTAGATACAGATAAGATGGGATGCCTTTGCAATGGGCATAAGGGGCCAGAGCTGTCCTTGAGGAATGTAGCAGCAGAGAAGTCAGGCAGTGTATGTGGGACCATCCATGATTTGCAGCAATAGCCTGTCTTCTCTACACACAAAGATTGCTTCAGAACTCGTCACAAGGTTTTGAGATAATAAATACTTCTTGAAAAAATACCGTGTACAAAGTAGCACATTTTGATAGCCTGCTTCCTGTAGGGATATGGCCACTCCAGCTGGGAACTAATTTAAGGGTGTTATTTTTTAAAAACAATCATTAGATAAGTCATATCTAGACTTAGGAATGGATAGGCAATGGATGGCTCCAGAAATCTTGGCAGTAGACATTGTACCATCTTGTCAGGGAAAGTACTGGAATGAATGAACTATCATTTTGTCTTTTATTCACAACTCATGTTCTGAAAAGGGGGCATCCAAATGGCGTTGTTTAGAGTATTGTATCTCAGGGTGTGATTTCCCATGGCTCTGCACGCTGAACCTGGGAACTTGCTAGAGGGTTGAGCCTGTGATTTGAAAGAGCATTGAAAGTACTACAAAAATTAAAAATACAGAAAGAAAGAGTAGGAAGGTGAAATGAGGTGAAGAAGGAGGGTAAGATAGAGGGATAGGATGGGAAGTATATCCTCATGTTCATAAGACTGCGTGCATACGCACGTATGTATGAGAGAGACAGGAAATGTAGTCCCTTCATCTAATAATGGAGAGGTTAAAAAAAAATAAAATAAATGCAATTGCTTGAGCCCATCCCTCTGGAGCCTGTTCGGTGGTTAGCCCATGGAAGCACAAGGAAGTTTGAAAGCCACTGACGTGTGTGACACGATTCGCCAGTTTTGAGGACTCCTTTATCCCTCACCCTACCAAGGATGTGCAAAACAGCAGATCTTCTTGGTAGCCCTTGAGGCAATGAGATGCCCCTTGTACATACGATTTATCTTGTTGTTGTGTGTGATCAAGGCTGTGTCCTTACAGCCAGGGCCTGTCGTTGTCTAGGTGGACTAGGGAGGTGAAATCCATCTAACTCTGAGTTCTCTCCAAACCAGGTTTTCTTTTGCTCTGTCAATAACACAAGTAACACACGTGGCATTCTGATTTCCAATGATTTGACCCATACATTCAACACTGAGGCACAGAAAGAACAGATTCAAGTAGCAGGGACTTCTGAGCCTTCATAATCGTCTCTTTTGAAGCCTTCTTTTAAAATATAGGCCATTGGAGAATTGTCTGTCTCTTTTGTACCTTTTCTCTGTGTGTGTTACTACTTCTGGAATCAGTATTTATAACTGTTACAGGAGCGCCTTTGCATAAGGATGCAAATATTTCACACAGATGATTGCCTGGGTGTCATGAATTACTAAGGGGAATGGTTGTAGATAATCATTTAGAGTCAAAATCTCCGTTGAGAAGCCTTTCATTCTATAATTTGAGTCCATTTTGAAAGAGAAAACTCGTGGGTTTAGAATCATAGAAACAAATTTAGCTCTAGATATATTCATCACAATATTCATTTAGAAGTATCTCATAGATTTGGTTCTCTTCTTATGAATATGAAGACATGTTCATTTATATAAACTACCTAACTTAGAGACTAGAGCCAGATTCCTTGGTTTATCAGCCCAGAGGTGCTTCTTTCATGTAATATGAGCGTCCAGTGAAATAGCCCAGCAATTGATTAGCGTGACCCTGACTCAAAGATGTGGTCATTACTCCTTGATTCTTCTCTGTTCTCCTTGGAGATTTTCCTAACCAAGGAATCACTAAACTAACAGTGCTAAATGTATGAGGCCAAAGCCCAAGTTGCTATCGCTAAAAGAATGAAAAGTCGTAATGTTGTTTTCCTAAACACTGTTTGCAGGTTGTCTGTGAAGTCAAGGGAGAGCAGTTCTTTCACCAAGCATGTGGGAGTGAGAATAGCCGGAGATAAGAACATATTCTGTGTGCTCCTCCTCGCTGACATTTATTTCTCATGCATTTGCATCAATATATATTTGCTTTTCCTAACTGTCATTATTTATCCTTGTAATATATGCATTGTGAATACTTTTCTCTTAGAGCTAATTGTAAGCATCCATCTCTTGGAATATGTACTCAGAAAGTGCCATCCAAAATAGCCTTGTTATTTCCTATACGGCAGTTTAATCATTACGATCTCATGTGATCTCATCTCCACTGAGATGTGCTTCCTGAGAAAATGCGGAGTTGTGGCATGTTTGTTAAAATCCAAGTTGAATAAATTACCGTAATATTCAGAACATAGGCAAGGGAGAAACAGTATTTTCAGAAATTCTGCTTTGCATGCATAATACCCCACACTTTCCCCATTCTAAACCACACTGTGTTATTATGGATGCTTAAATGTCATCATAAAGAGCAGGTCAGTGTTGCCTAGACAACAGTTTACTTTCTGAGACAGAGTTTTCTTTAGCGGTCATAAATTCAATGCCATCACTGAATTACAGCATGGACCATTAGAGCAGCTTAGAGCAATTACCTTTGCTTATCCCAAACTAACCATAGTCTGCATAAAGTTAAGTGAAATAATTAACCTCTCACCACAAAAGGAAAGACCAATAAAAAAGGTACATCTAAAAGTATATTATAAAACTGATCAAGGAATTAAAATTTAAATGAAGGATTTAAATTGCACATTTCTCAAGCAAACTGGGTACCACATTTCTGAATGCTAATCTCAGAAATTTTCATCTATGTTTGCCAAGAAAGACTCAATCACTGCTATTTAGATGTTCAGCTCTACTCGTAGTTAGAAAAACCAGTTGCCAGGAAGCATAGAAAGCCATTTCATTTATTGTGAAAAAGTGTAAAATTTTCACTTGGAGGTTCTCTGGGGGAAGCATGGGTTGTTGGAGATTTTCTGTTGGGAAACACTTATTTCATCCTTTTACTGAATATTACTTATTGTTATGTTTGTGAAGTGCCTTGTAGGCCTCTTGAAACTTACTGGAAGAACCAATTTAGGAAGAACCTACCTAATTAGCTCAAAAGTTTACAATGGACTCGGAGTTTGTATATTGAGAGTCGATATGTTTGTCTTGGAGTTTGAGTGTGAGTCCTAAGGTGTCAGGCTTTGCCTCGGACACTTACCCCGTTGACATTATGCAGCGTGGTACAGCGAAGGCTAGCCTGTACTTTCAGTGTTCCTAATAATAGCTCCTGTAGTGGAAGGTGAGCTGGTACCTCATTCACAGCGGGAGAAGACGCCTGAAATGATCTGCTTCTGTTTGGAGATACCCAAATCAGAAACTCAGTGACCTAAAGTTGAAAGCGTTCACTGATGATCTATATGTAGGACACCCTGTTGAACCTGGGCTACAAAACTGATTTTTTAAAGCTTTATCCATTCACATAGGTGCAGTACTCATATGCAAAAGACACCGTGATCGATGCAGATACTCTCCATATGCTAAATGCATGATACGTATCGAAATGGTTTTAGGAATTCAAACAGGGGTATAGAATTATGGATAAACCAGTCAGGCACTCAAAAGAGAAGGAGCCAGCTAATGACAGGCTAGCCTTGTGTCATGCATCTCCATAGACAGTGACTGCCTGCTCTATCAGCTCGTCAGCCTCCATCGTAGCACCTGTCCACAACCTGAGCTTCACCTGCTTGCTGATGTATATTATCTGTGTCACACACTAGAAGATTATTGCCATGAAAGTAGATGTTTTCTAGCTTGCTCACATTATAATGGCTCGGTCCCACCCAATTTCATGGGCACATGTCAGACCGTTGTTTATTTTTCCTTAGTTAGATAGTTACTGATCAGACTCTATTATTTCAAGTCCATTTTCAGAGACTCTAAAGAATGCTAATTTGAGTTGCCCTGGAATCTTGGAACTAATCCACGAGTTACCACGCCAATGTTTTGTTTGTTGATTCTTTTTCGCTTTTTCACAAAAGTTGACTTTCTGAAAAGGCAAATGCGATTCCCCAGTCAGTTCTATTATTTCTTATAGACTCATTTGAGCTTCTGTAAAGTTACTTATTATTTACTCTTAAAAGGAGAAAGACAAACAGATGTTTTCTTCCGACTGCTGCTTCACTCCTCGGATGCCTGCAACAGCCACATCGGAGCCAGGCTGATACTGGTTTCCTAGAGCTCAGGCTGGGTTCTCCACCTGGGTGGCAGGGATCCAAGTGCAGTAGCTGTTACCACTTGCTTCCTGGAACATATATTAACAAGAAGCTGGAATAGAAGCAGGAGAGCCATGAATTGAACCCAGGGCTCCACAAGCAATCCTGAGTGTTTCTGAACTGCTGCACCAAATAAATTGAAGAGAAATAAATGCCATGCCTCTCCCCTCCCCCAAACGTAAAAGGCTATCCATGAGCAATCCACCACCACATATTATTTTTAGAAAACATTTCACACTCACTTGATAAAGGCATCTCCCAAATTAGATATAATGTTAAGTCATGCAGTTAAGTAATCCCTGCATAAAAATATCATGAGAAGAGAAATCTGTGCAGTGTTTTTGTTCCCAGTTGACTCGTGTGTGTGTGTGTGTGTGTGTGTGTGTGTGTGTGTGTAAATTTCCTTTTAATTGTCTTTATTTCCTCAAGGCTGAGTCATGGCCTGTCATACCTTAAAAATACGAACTTAATGCAACACATCCTGCTTCAGATATGCGCTTTATTTGAAAAATCCACCATCTTAAATGCCTTTATCTCATTTGTAATTTCCTTTAGGATTTCTTTTTCAAAGGAGGGAGGCCTGAAAATAGCAAATGTGACTAAAGCTGATACTGGAATGTATACATGTACAGCAGAAAACCAGTTTGGAAAAGCAAATGGCACAACACAGTTGGTGGTTACAGGTAGGTGCAAGTTTAAAATATTGTTTCTTGAGTGAGACCCTGGGTCATAATCAAAGAAACTAACACATTTTTTTTTTTTACAAAAATGTTGTTTACCGTTAAAAAGTAGAACCCAGGATTGCACGAGTCTGTTTTTTTTCCTCCAAAAGAACAGTTTATGTGAAGGACAGGCTGATAGGAAGGGAGGGAGAGAGGCTGAGATGTTCATCTACTGATCCACTCCCCAATAGCCAACAGCTACCAAAGCCAACCCAGGATGAAGCCAGAATGCAGGAGCTCCATCCAGCTTTCCCACATAGAGCAGCAGGCAGCCACGTGCTTTGGCTGCCATCCACCGCCTTCCAAGCACGTCAGCAGAAAGCTGGATTGGAAACACACAGTCAGCCAGGACACACACCAGGTACTTGTACAAGGAATGGGAGCAGCCCAACCCGCTGCACCACAACGCTGGCAACATTTTTGTGTAAGTGAAGCAAACAAATTTTCATTTGGCACAGCACACTATGCAGAGCGGAACACATTCCTTAGTGCCTGTGCCGGAACAATGGGCAATAATCATGACTGTGGTTGTTCTATATCTTTCTCTTTTTCTTGGCAGTTGTGATTTTTGAAGATATCCATGAGGTAGAATGATTTCCAGCTGTGGATGCATTGCTTCCTTTTATTCATTTAAGAAAATTAAGGTGAACTGTCTAGTAGATGCCAGCTGTTTGGGCTCTATGACGACATAGTGACCCCATGAGTGTTACTGGGGTGGAAGAAATATAGGCGGTAGGACTAAGAGGCAAGGAAAACATTGAGAAAGGATAGTAGGTTGGCTGGGAGCTTAAGTTTGAATGGGATTCGGGTAGTTTGACTAGACCTCCCAAGAAGGAAAGTCTTCAGCAGAAGTTTCGTGTTGTTGTCAACCAGCAATCTCTCGGGGACCAATATGTTGACAGTGCTTAGACTTATTAGAACTTCATCTTATAGCTGGATTGGAAAGATTCTAAGCAAGCGAGGGCTGTGAAATAACACTTCTGAAAGACACCTATGGCTGGTGGGAAGGGCCTGCAGTAGGACAGTGGAAGCCAAAGAGATCTCTAGAGACAGCTTCTATAAACCAGGAAGAAGACAAAAATTACCCAAATGAGGCTGGAAACAGAGAAATTGATGGGATGGGGTCAGATTCTGCATTCAGTTTATACAGACACTCAACAGGAGGTGCCCACAATTTGGATGTGATTTGTAAAATGAAGTAGGCTTGGGTGGATTCTGGGTGTGTGCTAACTAGTAGAACAGCCTGATTTACATAGCTAATGAGGCATGTAGGATGTTGAGTTTGGGCAAATCGAATAGGAGATATTTATTTGACTCTGTCTTTGTAAATCCAGATAATGGATTTACCAAAATCTCAGTGGATCTAAAGTGACACAGGTTCACGTTTTGTTCACTAGAAGTCCGTGGTGAGCCAGCTGCATTATCCTTACACCTAAAGGGATCGTCTGTGGCATTTCTGTCATCATGAAAAGGGCAGGAAGACACATCCAATGACTCATTCACTCTTCCAGACTTCTGCCTGTAATGCCACACATGACTCCTGCTTGGATTTCACTTGCCAAGGCATAGTAGGACCACACCTGAATTCAAAAGTGTAAAGAATTTAGTTCTACTGTCTCCCCTGAAGGAAGTAATGGAGAATGACACCCAAGTGAAAATCCCGAATGTGTAGTTGGATGTGTAAATCTGCATTTGAAGAGAGACATCAAGATGGGCAAAAATATTTGACAGTTGTCATTGTTATGGGTCCTTGAAGCCATGATTAGTTAAAATCACCGAGAGTAAAGATAGGAAATCTAAGAAGCCAAAGACTGACCTTGAGGCATTCCACCTTAAAAAAAAATCAGGAAGAGTGGAGGGACCATATATGGAAAGAGAATAGGAGTGAGTGGCATGACTGAGAACTAAGTGTGGTATTCTAGAAAACAAGTGTAGCAAGCGTACCCAGTAAGTGATAATGAGCAGGTGCAGCAGACACAACTGAGAGTCTGAGTAACTCAGTGTAGGCTAGCACTGGGATCCTAATGGGAGTGGCTGGGTTGGGTAGGGAGTCGGGTGGGCCAAAGTCTGACCAGACTGTGGTGAGATTAATTACCAGCAGCCAGGATGAATGTTTAAAACTTCAATTTGGGAACTGACAGTGGGAATGTGGAGTCAAGAAAAGTTCAGCTCTCAATGGGTATGTTTGTGGAATATAGTCAGGTGAAAATTTGTCTTAGGGGAAAACAGATATTCATATTTTAACTTAGTACTCCTCTCAAACTACCCATTGCAAACACCCTTTGTTTCGTCTTCCAAGTCCATGCTACTGTTCAGTGTTTTAGTACTCTTCAATGTCTGTGCTGTTGTATTTCATAGTTAAACTTGGTGAGAACCTAGTGGCTTTGATTTTTGCCCCTGTATTTCAAAATACAGTAAAGATAAATTGAAATTGATTTTGTTGGTGGAATTGTAACTTGCGTCTTACAGGTGATTTTATTTTTTAAACCTAAGCAAAGTATAAATTGAGATCTGCTAATCCGTTCAACAAGGATAAGTGATGTAGTGAAGTGTCCCACTGTTGTGCGTCAACTCTTGATTTTATCTTGAAAACTTTTAACTACATAGATGTACGTGTGTGTGTGTGTGTGTGTGTGTGTGTGTGTGTGTGTGGATGGGAGTGTGTGCATGCAAGCATATTTATTGCAAATTGCTGGATCGTTTGTGCAGATTGTACTCACCATAACAAAAAGGCTAAAGTTTTGCTTAAAAATTGTTTCCCCAATAGAACCAACAAGAATCATTTTGGCGCCATCCAACATGGATGTTTCAGTAGGCGAAAGCGTCATCTTGCCCTGCCAGGTGCAGCACGACCCCTTGCTCGACATCATGTTTACCTGGTACTTCAATGGAGTCCTTGCAGATTTTAAGAAAGATGGATCTCACTTTGAGAAAGTTGGTGGGGTAAGTTGTGACACTTTTCCTCATGATTTTTGTATTACGCATATCTCTGACACGTTGCTTCTGAAGCGAATCCGCCGCCTAGGCAGTGCTCTAGAAACGCTTGCTAAATAGTCTGAACACTCAATTCTGTTTTGATCTGATTTTATTCGTTGTTGTTAGCAGAAACTGAGCATAGTTTCTTTGATCGGTGATTTTGATCAAATTCATGCATGTTGCATTTATATTGTCATTTTCCATGACATATTTTGTTGCTACTATTTCACACATGGAGAGTTTTCTTATGCAAGACACTTTCTAGTTTATAAAAACAAAAAGGGGGGATTAAAAACTTAAAAGACACATTGATTTTGGCACAAGAATATTTGAAACTAATGCATATAAAGGATCTTCAGAATACTCATAGCAAATATGTATTATGAGAAAGCAATGTATGCATTTCAAATTATTTGCACCAAGGTAGGCTCACCTTTCACTTCCATTTTTTTTCCCACCATTTTGTTTTAACTTTCAGAGTCAGAGTGGGGGAGAGTAAATCCGTGATTTATTTTCCGTGTGCCCACAATAGTCCAGGCTAGACCGGAGCCACAACCAAGAGTTGGGAACTGGATCTGGGTCTCCCACAAAAGGGTTGGAGTTCCAACTGCTCGAATCGTTACTTCTGTTCCCCAGGGTCGGGTTTAGCAAGAAGATGGACACAGGAACCAGAGTGGGTCTCCAGCCTAGGCACTCTGGGACACACTCACATTTTAAACTGAGAGGCTAAACCTCAGACTTTTGTGCACTTTTTTTTTTTTTCTACTTTTGGGCAGATGTCTTTCAAAAGGACATGTTTATGATGACTTGGGAGGTCCTCTGATTTCCTCATCTGTGTGCTATTGTTGTGTCAGACTCAGTGTTTCATCTCGAATGATCTGCACTGCTATTCTGGATATTAGCATCTAGACTGTTAAAGATACCCAAAATGATGACTTGTTCCATTTAACAAATTGCCCTAGTCAGTTAGCTCATTAGTGAAGGAACTGCAAGCCCAGAGCTGAGCGTCCACACAGCACAGATGTCCTCCAGTGTTCCATCCCGTTGTGTCCTCATAGGTGGTGGCTCCACATTAGAATCAGAATTAAAATAGCTCAGGCCTGGAGGACACTGGTTAAACAGTGAGTCAATACTGGTGAGCCCTTTGGTCTAACAACTTGCCTCACAGCTGGCAGCACATCTGTGATTCCAGAACTGTTAGGCCTGCCTCTTGGCAAGCTTGTATGCATTGATACATGGATGGCTTTTTTCTGCTTGGCTTAGGTGTATAGGCAAGCGGTACTTAACTAAGCTTGGAGTTGCTCTTTTTTTTTTTTAAGATTTATGTATTTTTTTATTGAGAAATCAGATATACAGAGAGGAGCAGAGACAGTAAGATCTTCTATCTGCTGATTCACTCCCCAAGTGACCGCAATGGCCAGAGCTGAGCTGATCTGAAGCCAGGATGCAAGGGCTTCTTCTGGGTCTCCCACATGGGTGCAGGGTCCCAACGCTTTGGGCTGTCCTTTGCTGCCTTCTCAGGCCACAAGCAGGGAGCTGGATGGGAAGTAGGGTTATAGGAACATGAATCTGCACCCATATAGGATCCTGGTGCATGCAAGGCTAAAATTTTAGCCTATATTTAAGGACTTCATATGTCAGCATTACTAAAGCAAAAAAGCACTTGGTCAGTTATGCAGTATTCATTTCACAACAACTTCTTCTCCCATGTATGTTTAAGTATACATAAACCTTTTCATGTGCTAGTCTCATCACCAAGTTAAAAGACTGAAGGACTGAGTTGAATCGATCCTTCCAAAAACCGTGTTCAAGCCCTCATGTCCAATATGTCACAATGTGATTTTTATTTGGAACCAGTATTGTTGCAGAAGCAATCAGTTGACGTTAATTCTGGACTAGGGTGGGCATGTCATTTTTAAAAACAAGCCTGTTGGAACAAAGACACTGACACAGAGACGAAGTGGCCACCGACAATGATGTAGGGTTGGAGCGGTGCTGCCCAAGCCATGGCTTTGTGGGCATCCAGAAAGTGGAAAGGCAAAGTACTCCTCCTGGAGCACTACTGGCAGAGGCATGGCCCTGTGACACCTTAACCTCACACCTGCAGCTGTGACAGGAGGGCTTGCTGCTGACTGAAGGCACACGGGGTAGGGGACATCATTATGGCAGCTCTGGGATCCCAATAAAAAAGGGATTTTTTTTTTTAGTAGGAAGAGGATAGTTGAAATGCTTAGATTCCCAACCACAATTAAATTCAGTGACAGTATTACTTCTTTCTGCTCTCACCCATTTTATTTAGTTTTAGGAATGATAGTTATTTAAGTGTTCTGATTTACGACCTGGGAGATTTTAGCAATTGTTACAAAAGCTTAACTTTCTTTTGCTTTTGGTTTAAATTTCAATTTTTCAAAGTCACTAAGTTCTTGTATCATAACGGGGAAAGACCTATGCCTACTGTCCTGACTGTGCCTCTACATCTCTCAGTACTCCTCTTCAATTGCCCTTGCTTGGAGAGAAGGCAAGGGAGAGAGAGAGAAAGGCTGCGAATGTTCCTTTGTCCCATGAGAAAAGCCTCCTGCAACCCAGCTCCTCTCCTAGGTGTCTAGTAGTCTCTCTTCATTTTACTTTCTGTACTTCGATCACCTGTGCACAAACAGGGCCCCAAAATATTAATGGTAAATTTCCAAAGATACACAGCTCATACTTTTACGTTGACGTTTGTTTATTTCAAAGGCAGATTTATAACAATAGAGGGAGACTGAGATCTTCACCTGCTGGTTCATTCTTCAAATGGCTATGATAGCTAGAGCTGGGCCAGCTCAAGTTGGGATCCAGGAACTCTGTCAGGTCTTCCCCCATAGGTAGCAGAGATCAACCAATGGGGCATTCTTCCGCTGCCCCCCAGGCCCAGAAGCAGGGAGCTGAATCACAGCTGTAGCCCCTGGGACACAAGCCGGTGCCTCCATGGGATGCCAGCATCACACACGGTTGTTTAACTCACTGTACCATGGTGCCAACCCCCATATGTTTTCAATAGCTTTCATTGCAGTATCTTATTACAATTGCACTATTTTTATTAGTTCTTACTAATCCCATATAGATTATGCCTAAGTAATAAATTAAATGTCACAGATATGCACATATAGGAAAGAAAGCAGTTGCATAGATAAGGTTCTGTTCTGTCTGTGGTTTTCCAGCATGTGCTTCGATCTTGGAAAAATACCCTTTGTGAATAAGATGGCACTACTATAAGATAAATAATTCAATTTAAAACGTTAGTTACCTTTGCCCCATACTGAAGATGATTATGCTTGTGATTCATTTCTCAGCTGGATTTAAGCTGCTGGTAATATTTTGTCTAAGACGGTACCCTCTGTCAGCTAACACTCAATACATGTGTATTCAAAGACTGAAACTCCAAAGTATTCCGATTGCCATATGTGGCAGACAGTTGCAAACAAACACAAGAGCGAGCCAGATTGCTGGTTTCCGTGGAAGCATCTTGGAGTTGAGAGCATTTGTGTTTGTAATATAATAATTGAACTCTCCGGATTTCCCCAGCCCTGAAAAGGCATAAAGCCATCGCAGTACAAGAGTCAAGTATCTGAAACGTAAAATTTCAGAAATGAATGATATCACTTGCCAGTTCTGTTCTTTCTCTAGCATGCCGGTTCATGGCCTGTGAATTTTTTATTGACTGCTGCCATTAGTAACTTAATATGCTCTCATCAGAATAAAACAGTGAGCCTTACAAGACAATATTCCCCTGAAGCACAAGCAATTAGGCAAATGGGTTTTCAGTTGCCGGGGAAGGCAGACAGAGGACAGTTTCTGTCCTCTGATTCCATACTTGCTGTGACATACACAGAAAGACCCAGAGAGGCTGCTTGCTCTTCCCATGGACCATCACAGATTGGTCCCCTGATGCAGCAGGTGCCAAAGTCACCTAGCAAGGCGATAACCAGAGCCATGCCTTTAAAGGAAAGGAATCATTTCAGTCATGCAAAATCCAACCAAGAGACCTGGATTCCTACAGCCCGCTGTCCCTGGGACAGCACCACATATTCAGGCTCATTGATTCGTGTCTTAAAAATGCACACTTTGGGGAGGGAGAACCTATAAGCTTCAAAAGCTGCAAGAATTTCTACGAGGTCTGTTGTACAGACTGGTATTATGCCAAGGAAGTATTATGACCCCAGTCACAGGTTTCTGCAGTCAGAACCACACATGCAGAAATGTGTGTTAAACCCAGGATGAAAAACACGCTGATACAAATGGATGGTATCGGTCTGTGGCCGTGGGACAAAACAAAGTCGTGTAATTAAAATCTGCAGAGAAGACCTTTCACTTCACTCCTGGCCAAGCACATCTCACTTCTAGACTTGGTGTGGAATGAGTTGAGAAGTGAGAGATTTGTGTTCAAAGATACAGGTGCTAGGGGTTTGGCCTGTAGAAGATACCCATGGGTGACTTTCCTTGTCACTGACCTTTCTGTTGCTTACTTTCTTCTCACTTTTCCTAATGACTACTGGAATTTTCCCACCATGAGGTCTTGCATATTCTTCCTAGATAGTTGTTTTTTTTTTGTTTGTTGTTTGTTTTTTGGCCTGCATCCCAGGTATCTTTAGAAATAACTGTATGTCTCTCTAGGTAAGAAGGTATGTGTTCACACACGTGCGCTGTACTTGCGTAATTGAACGGTTGTGAGAGGAAATACAGGTACAGCAATATGTGGAGGGTAGCATTCTGTCATACCCGTAGTTATCCACAAATATTCTCCATCAAATGTTTAACCAAACAGAAGAGGTAGAAAGGGAGAGAGAGTGGGGAGAGAGTAGGGATAGAGAATGCCGTTATTAACTCCAGGATAAGGCCTTTTCTATCTATAAACAGCTCTTAGTTTCCAATAATAAGAAGAGACTACAAATCAAAGGTGACTGGTTTCTAGAAATTTAGGACCCAGCCAT